ATATATATATATATATATATATATATATATATATATATATATATATATAAGAATAAAATGTCTCTTAAAGGACTTGAACAGACTTATGTGGGGCTTGCTATCAAGGTCTACAAGATAACCTGACCAATTGGTAATTTGTTGAAACCTGCTCAGCCAGTTGGATGTAAAGGAACCAACTAAGAATTAGAAACTCAACTGAAACCAAATGGAATCTTCTTAATCTGACAGAGATCGAACCGGTCAGGGTTGAGTTTGATAGATCACCTAGAAAGATTAGAGCTAAGTGTTCCAATGATCATATGGCAACAGGCTCTCCCTTTTTACCAAATAATCAAGCATAAGACATTCATTACCATGTCAACTATAAATTCACAAAAAATGCTTTGAATTTCAACAACAAGATAGAAACTTACATGGATTCAATAGGAGCCATTCCCAATGTAACAAGACATTTTCCAGCATAAAGCCTCAGCTGAGTTCAAAATGACACCCTAGAAAGCCTGCAAAATATCCAGGTCTATCAAATGGACAAAAGATAACCATACTATGCATTCAAAACAGCTCAATCTATGAGCAAGTGGGTAACAATTTACCTAAGCTATTACTGTTTTCCATTACTGTCCTTCAGCTAGCCTTTTGGATTTTTAGAGTTTTATAACACTTAAAAAGCACCATAAGACAATAGATTACCAATGATACAGCAGATGTCAGACCAATACAATAGGGGACCAACTCAAATTGGCATATGTAATTGTAAGAACCAGTTTAAAGTTTTGAGACATGAATTAGTGAAAGAAGTGCAAATGATGCGAACAAACACATACTTGGATCTGAATTGATGAGCACTGCGGTGCTGTCGAAGCTGCAACTGCCTCCAGATTGTTTTGTTTTCTGCCAATAGCTATTAAAAGCGTAGGAAGCATGAGCTACCACATTATCAGGGTAATAGCAGCTCCCATCGGGCCCAATTTCCTCACAATTAGCCCCACCCTCACCACAAGCGTAATCCATTGCCTCCTGCAACTTCTCCATTGGAACGGTTGGCTTTGCTACACACCACAAGCCAACCTTTTGCCCCTCCCCTGACCCTGGAGCAGGTGCAGCCGGTGTAGGCAGGCACGTTGGTGGCGAGGCCAAGAACACGTCAGGTGGGCTTGCAGGAGGGACCAACGCGGGCGAGGCATCAGGTGGAAAAGAAAAGGAACCATCAGGCGGCGATGGAAATATCATGGGTGGGGGACTTGGTTTCTTGGCTAAGTGCGAGGGCACCTGAAAGCCAACTGGCTTTGGCATTTCTGAAGCTGAAGGCGAGGTCAAAGACGACAGCTTTCTGCTCTCCCTCACCACTCTGATGTCCTTAGGCTTAGAAATGCCCAACCTTTTCCAAGCATCTTGGTGAGCAGAAAAGGAAGGCTCGTCTATGGCATAAGCTGAGCCACTCTCTTGCAGAAAACCAAGTATGGGTTTGAGTGTAACGCGAGAGTGCTGGTGCAGACAGTCGGCGGAGAAGGCAGCTGAGACTTTGATCTCCCTCACGAGCCCCCACCTTACAAGAGAGTAGTGAAGGTTCTTGACAGAAGGGAGAACAAAGTCCCACTGGTGTTCATGGCTCTTGTTACAGTGAACGCCTCTCCCTACTATGATGGTGGTAATCCTAGTAGAAGGGTAGCGAGCTAAGACATGCGATCTCAGCCAGGTTTCAGCTGCTAAGACATTGGAAGAGACCACGGGGAGGTCTGCGTCGCTTACTGAGACCCCAACCGAAGGCCGCTTCCCATGTGAGTCTGGTTCCTGGAGGTGTACGACCTCAAAGCCTTCTTGACCTGTAACTGAAGCGGAAAAGAAGAACACATCAATAACATATATCAACACAAAAAGGGTTCAAGAAAGAAGGAATAACAAACAGATAGTTACCTGTAAGACCCGATAGAAGGATAAGGTAGAGAAAGTGAACAAAGCAGCAGCGAAACCCGACCATCTTCTTATCTTGCTCGTGTTCTAGTGGGAAGAACAGGGAGGTGGGATAAAACCCTTAGGAAGCCGGAGGGGGGACGGGCGGTGAAAGGGTGACTTTTTGGGGATGCGAGGGCAAGGAGAAGCGGGTTGGTCTTTAGCCAATAAAGCGGAGGGGAGTTGGTGCTCGGAATCGGAGTCTGGCTATCGCATTGTGGCGAGCTTGTGCCTGTCCTTCCATAGCATCGAGGAGGGCGCTTCTGAGGCCCCAAGGACGAAGGCGTGGGAAGTGTGCCCCACTTTCACGGCCAAACCAGAGAAAAGATCAAGCCTTTTTGCGCATTTTGACGTGAAACAAACTGTGGAAACGGGGCTTTATTTTCTGCAACTGTACTACTTTACTGCAACATGTCGCCCTGCGTGTTCAAAACCTCTGCCTTTATATGTTGTGCTGGTCCTCACCGATGATAACTGCACGATCATGGAGATTGCTGCCGCCAGGGGGAATTCAAACTTTGTTCTTGCTCCATTCACAAGAAGATTTGCATGATTAATCGTTGATTGTGGAGTATGCCTGACTAAACCTCACTGTAATCGCATGAGACGAAGCTCCCGAGAGTTACATGTGAATTCAGGCAATGATGTCCCTGCGGGTGCAGAGCTGAGGGGTTCACGAGAATGTTTGAGTTGAAAGTAGTGAAGTGCGATGAACGGGGGACTGCATTGGGAAATCAGTAAGTAATTAAGCATTAAAAGGCAGTCAAGGTGGCAGTACTACGACTGACCGGTCCGGCTGCTCTGCTTCCCGTTTCGGGGCGCTTCGGGAGCTGCTTCGTCTTGCTCTGCTGTTAATGGCAGCAGATCTAAGCGGGGAAGCCAGCGCGGGTAATGAGTGCCTCATGAAAGCATTATGGCATCAGTGCAGGTGATGCATGGTAGAGGGTGCCATTCCGGGAGGGAAAGAGCTTACTACACAACGGATGAATTCACCATTCATACAGTAACTTTGCTTCGATCATGGGAGAGAGTTCGCGGGCACCGCCGTGGTTTGTTTCCTGCAAGCAAATTCGACTGATATTACACTAATATTACTATATAAATATTTTAATATTTTTAAAAGATGTCGATATATGAAAAATATATATGATTTTTCATTTGGCTTCTCATCCATATGACGCCAGATAAACCGGTTGGATTTACTGTGGACCTGAATCCGGTCGAGCCGGATTAGGGCTCGAACGGGTCCGATGCGAACCGAGTTACGGTCCGACGGGACGGAATCCACAGGAGCGGGCGGGCTGTTGGTGTAAACGATGGCGAAGCCCTAAGGAGAAAGGTTGTGCTTTACGATTGCCATCCTCGCTTGCGGTGAAGATGCCGGAGGAGCGGAGACGAAGGGAAGGCGGGGAGGGAGGAGGATCGTTGTCTCGTCGAGAGGGCCGTGATTGCGATGGCAGACGCCTGTCCTCCCGATCGGAAAGGGAAAAAGAAAGGGAACCCAGGTGCCCAGCTCATCTCTCTCACACACGTGCCATATCTTGACAGTGCAATTTCGTTCCCGAGTCTTTCTTCGGGGGATCGATTCATTTTCTAGGATCAGGTCGGCGACAGGTTCCTAAAAATCTAATCTGTGGGAGTCTTGATTTTTGTTCTTTTATCATTTGTTTTGTGTAAGATGGTTATGGGAGTGCAAGACTTGGGGGAGTAGTTGTAGTTGACGAGGATGGGTATTTCTTGCAATTGGGTGTCTGCTTAGAGTAGATGTTACAGGGGGTTCAGTATTCGGTGGTCCTTTACCTTTAGTATTGATTCGGTGGTACTACTCGCGGCCTATGCTTCGGAGAAGAAGGCACTTGTGTAAGATTATTATTGACCAGCAACCAAGACCTTTGCTCCGACGATATATGTGTAGTATGTACTATAGAACTTGCTGAAAGCCCTCAAAACTGGATGTCTAATGCCCAAGCTAGAATTTTCCTAAGACGCTCGTAGTCATGGCCAAGAAATTAACTTTGTAGCATTGAATCCTAGTTTTGCAAGGTGCTATACCTATTGATTGGCAAGGCTCATGGTTTGAGTAAATTTGCAGCAGGAATTACTGCCGTTTTGGATTTCTTCTAAACCAAGAGACTCTACTCTTAGTGGCCCTGTAGGAGATATTTCTTGTGCATTGTCTGTTGCATTGTAAGCACATTCTGTGGTTGCACCAGAAATTGCTGCCATTTTGAATCTCTTGTAAACCAACAAAAAACCTATTTAGTGTTATCCTCCTTATAGGAGATATTTCTTCTGCATTGTCTGTTGCACTGTAGGCACATTAGACTCCAGTGCTCAGTTTACATCATCATTTCTTGTAATATTGGGTGCTTTTCTGTTGATAGTATCCCAGAATATGTATTTACTTATGTTTACTTTGGGTTGGTAAGTTCAACCTTCACTGAAGGATAATTTAAAGCATGATAATTGATTAGCCCTAGTTTTACAAAGGTCTCCGTTTGCAGAAAATGATACAAAAACAATACAAAGCATAACTAAGGGAGGAGAAATAATTCAGTGTGCATAACAATCTTTTTCTAAAAAGCATAGCTGAGAAAACAAGGTTTCTGCTAATGCAGAGTGTAGGGACATTAATGTATGTAGTCTTAGGCTCTTAGCCTTGTAAGCAAAAAGACTATTTCCGTGACTTGAACCGTGGCTAAAAGATGTTGGAAGTGTGATAATTGATTAGCCTCAGTGTTATAAAGGTCTCTGTTTGTGTAAATTACAATGATAGAAAATTAATATAAATCATAATTCAACAACTGATGAAAAATTGATTTAACTTTCAGATATGCTAATCTACTACTTTTTCAAAAGGTGGGGCCTGCTTGGTAAAATCTTCTTTAATGTGTTTTTATTATCTGAAATTGTAAATAACTCATTAGGGACAAGACTTGATGATTAGTCAGAAGTCTGAGCCCTGTCTTGACCTTTGCCATTTTTCAGTGGTTATGGCTCACAAAAGTTAGTTCTAAGGAACATTATGGGTAGGAGACAAGCTTGAAAAAAAAATGGTTGCATTTATGTTCTTGCTTTCCTGACCATATCTTTTGTATTGTTACTTTGAAAACCACGTGCTGATATTAACCTTTAATGATTGTATGCCATTTCTTTTTTTTTCCCTCTCATCAGAAGTCCTCTTTCTGTTTGTGATTGATTTCGTTGACATTATGATGTGATTGTACATGTCCATTTTGCTTGTCTTCAGTTTGCCTTTATGATAATGAACAACTCTGCAATCAACTTTTAAAATTTTATATTTTCCAAGTCAACATGTGAAAACCTCTGGCTGTCTCTCCTTTCATTTCTATCTCACTGCTCTCTACTATCTTCATCCCTCCCCCTTTGATATACAAATCTTCACTATCTTTGAACCAAATTTCTATTGATTGAAACTTGGATGAAATGTTTCTTTTATAACACTTGTTGTTTTATCATCAGTGCTTTGAATTCAATAGACTATTATGCTGGGTGAGGACAATGTTCTGGGCCATGTATAATTATGAAATTCATTTACCTTTAGTTCATAAATGTTTGAAATCATTATATTTCATAAATGCTTTAAAATCCATTTAATATTCTTTGACAACTTTTTGTCACAGCAGCACATGACAAATTTTCAACACAGCAAAACAGAACAGGTCAAAAATTATGTAGGGACACCTCAACATATGTATCATTGATTCTCTTTGACTGCTTCTGGTCATCATTTTGCGGAACTAAAACGTCACGAAGAAAGGCCATCCGCAATTTGCATTTTTAATTTAAGAAAAAAATAATCTATAGCTAAATAAATTGTTGGCTGTTTCTTACAAGCCTTTAGTATTTGTTTCTGGATTCATCACTAGGACGGATGGTGTTGCTTCTCACTTTTTCTAACCAAAGTTTCCCTTTTTTAACAGCCCAAAAAGATTCAGGAGACATGGAAAACCAGCATCAGCAAGAACATACTCCCGTAACCATGATTTGGACATTGATGACAATAGGGAACGGAAGCATCTTGGGCGGTTTCAAGATACTTTGCCATATGAGAATTCTTTAGCAGCAGATTCTAAGGTGCAGTCTGACATTCTTAAAGATGGTTCCAACAGTCTTGACATTCTAAAGTGCATCATATTAATTATTTAACTGAGATATTTGTTCTTTTAATTTGTTATTCATTGCATATGAACCTCTTTTTCCTCCTGGTGTAGCGGGATTCTTGTTCAGACCCGTGCCTCAAAGTACCTCATTTTATATAACAATCTTAGGCTACCTTTGCAGCACGATGAATGTGGCAGTGCTGGGCATGGTGGTCAAAGCTATGTTCACATAGCTGCTGGTAACTTAAATCATTTAATTAGAGTTAATCAGTGGACTCCTTTTAAATTTACATCTTCTTTTTTAAAACTTCTTTTATGTGTCGTCATAAAAACGATGGACGGAGTAATTTAAAAGAGCATAATGGCAGCATGGTGGACAAGATAGAGGCATCTGATTTGCAGAGGAAACATGACAGGAGTAAAGCATGTGAAGATGACGACGAGTGGAGACATGATGGGTATTTTGAATTGGAGGCTGAGGAATCAGCTCCCAGGAAAAGGCCTGCATTCAGTGAAAAGAAAATGCCAGCAGAAGATGTCCCTCCCACTAGATCAGAATTCAGAAACCGCCATGATCGACAAACTTTTGGTGTTTCAGGACGGATGGAAAAGGAAAACTACTTTTCACATGGAGATGAGCTTGAGAGATTTTTCCATCAGGCCGGAGATAAACATGATAGCTGGGGAGACAGATATCACCAAAGAAACGAAACGTACAGAGCTGGTTATCAGTCGAGAGAGAGGCATGGTAGCAGGGACACACGGGGCAGGGAAACTTTTGCTGGAAGATATGGCGAGAAAAACACCTATCGACAGAGTGGTTTGCAAGTAGAAAGATGGAGGCATGATCTTTTTGATGAGGCAAATAGAAGCCCAACCCCAAAGAATGAAGAAGAGCAGATAGCTAAGGTTGAAGCACTGTTGGCTCTGTAGCCATTGCATCCGTCAAGACATCTTGAACGGTTCCATCTGATATTTCTCAAGAGATAGTGGTGTTTCTTTAGCGTACTCAAAGCAAAATCACTCAAAAGAGTTTGATAATTCTGTATCTTATGCTATTCTGTTGTCTAAAGATAGCGTGTTTTTTCCTCCTTGTTTTGTTTCTCTTTTGTGCGAACTATGTTTGAGGTCATAGTTTTTCCTCCAGTAAATCCGTGTTTTTCTTGATTCTTATTCTCAAGTACAAAACCTCCATTGATCATTCGCTCATTTGACCTTTTCTTTGTTGTGATTTTGTGTGATAGCTTGGTTCACTAACAATTAGATTCGAGGCCATAGTCAACTAATCTGCCTTGGGATCTATTTATTATTATTGTTGTCTGCTAGCCCGATTCACCGGTAAACAACTCCTGGATTCCATTGCAAGCGTTTCTGCCTTTGTTTTTTCCATTGTCCTTAGTCATAGTTTCTGCATTCTATCATTAGGGGGGCAATGCAATACCACATTCCCTTTTCTCTGCTCCTTTTATTGGTTGAGTGCATCAATTCAGAGAAATGGCAGTCTCAGATGCAAACTTATGATCCAACTCGTTGCTCCGTCGGGCCACGAGATGAATTCTTTTTATGCGAATCCCATCAACAACACTTACTCTCTCAGGTGTTCGGTGAACCGTAAGATCTTTGGTTAATATCATGTTGACTTGCTTCGTAGTCTTCGTTAGTATATTGGCTTAATCGTATCCCATGAGTCACCTTCCTCATGCCAAGTATGACCGCCAGTTCTTTAAAGCTAGATGAGGCAGATTAAAGTAGTAGTACCGGAAACACGTCGATTTCACTTCGTCGGCGGCCGCTAAAGTTGTTCCACTGCATGCCCACTTGACTTGCAACTTCGTGGAACGAAGTCGCACATCTCACCAACCGATTGTGTATATGATCCCAGCCGTCGTATTTGAATACAGTAGCTGTTTCGTTATCCATGTGGTGCTCTCAAATGGCGGAGCTTTCTTTTGGTTGGAGGAAGCTCCTGCAGCTCGAACAGTAGCAATCCGATGGCCGGTGCAGTGGAGCAACGCAAGGCAGAGTTGGCTCGGTGCTTAAGAAAGTGAGAGCGATACTGACATGCGAAGCATGAACACGAGATCCAACATGGAGGCTGCGAACACCGGAAAGCGAAATGAAGAGAAAGCGCAGTTTACCATTTCTATTGTGATAATAATAATTATATATATATATATATATAGAGAGAGAGAGAGAGAGAGAGAATTAGGAGTGAGAAGATATTTACTGCTTTAGTGGTAACCAAGAGATCATGTATCATGAATGATTGGTATGGCTAAAAGGTGGTGGAGACGAATGAGCAAGCAAATCGGCTTTCAAAGGATATGTCTGCTTCAATGGAGGCATGAGAGATCCAGTGGAGAACATGACACAAGACTTGGATTTTTCCTGTTCAGAGTTCTGAGGATGGAGAACGAATGGAAGGATTTACTTTTTTGCTCAGCTTTTTGTGTCTTTTTGCAACCACCAAAGTCGATCCACTTTGTGTCTCGGAGAAGAAAAGGTGCAAAACCATGCATCTCTCTCTCTCTCTCTCTCTCTCTCTCTCT